AAAAAGACGAAGTTGAGAAGAAGCGAGAGAAAAAAGCATTGTCGGTTGGTTTTTTTCCACTCTCTTTGGATTCCAAACCAACTGTTCTCGTCTTTTCACTGTTTTCATGTGATCATGGAACAAGTTCAAAACGTTTCATTTCCCCTTCACTTGTACACTTCGATCTAACGCACGGAAATCTTTGTTTATTCTAATATGTTCAATGGTTTAGCTACTATTTTGCCTTTTTCTCATCTCATTTCACTTCGTCTTCTGTCGTTTTCTTGTTATAACTTTCAGATTCCACACACACACATAAAGGCGACCATAATAAATTTGTGATTATTAACATATACATTTCTTTCTCTTCAAATTGTGATACACTGGACAAATGAACTATCGAAGCAGTTATATGCGAACAAAGAAAAATATTTACCATTGTCGCCTTAGCACCGCAACACTTTTTCATTTGAGATTGATTCGATTTCAATTGATTGGTCTGCTTATTTTTATTTCCTACTGTTGTGAATGTGTTTACCTTAACTTATAGTAAATACGATACCGCAGAATGAGAAAAACGAAGACGAAGGAATAAATATCAAATTTATGTTATTTTTCACGTGTGTAGCAAAGAATGAGGGAAAAGAAAAATAAAAAAGCATTGATGAATTTCTACATGTGAAACGATAAACTCTGACGATGTTCTTTTTATATTCTCTCTCGGTTTCGTATCGTCACGCGTTTTTTTTTCTTCTCTTTCTCTTGTGTCGCACTTCGTTTATTGCGATCTTTATGTTTTGTTCTTTGTCCCATGACATTCTGTTGCATCGAGCGTATTTATTTATGTTGTTGTCCGGTGCATGTTATGGCTTAGGTGCATTCACTAAAGTCGCGCTCACCAAATGAATTCGAGAAAATAGAGAGAGAGAGTAATAAAATCGTGGGTGCATTCACACCAATTGACCGACGTTGACTCAATAGCAACGCGAAAAAATAAATAAATGTTTAAATGAACTAAACATTCTCTATGCAATTCGTTGTACTTAATTTTTACCTTGCACACAGAGCACAGTCTTATATGTTTAACGAAGATAAATCAAATTTATCTTATGGCTAGAGAGTGTAACAACACTGCAGCATGAAAAGACACACAATTCGTGAACTGAACAAAATCGAAGACATCGAACCGGTTTTTCGGTCTCAAGCGATTTTAGTTTGACCAGAAGAGCAAATCCCTTGCCAGAAACTTGAAAAAAGAGATATTTCTACGAATTCTACAAAGCATTCACTAGTTCTTTCAGTGAAATAGTCAAGTCTTTCGCTTCCGTAGAAGAAAAAAATTGGAGTTTCGGTATACAAATCAAAAAATGAACGAACTCCCCGACAAGATGTCAATCCAATGATTCATCCATTTTGAATGCCACCATATATGCACTCGCCTCAAAATGATATTTCTTTTGTCGGCTTCAAAGTATATTATTTTGCAATCAGTGTTGCACAAGGAAAAAAACTACTTTGTGATTTATCGTACAATATTCGCAAATGTAAATTAATTCGACGAATTGGCTGGCGAACAGAGTAAAAAAAATGCAATCGGATTGCGGCGCTTGAGCATTGTTCGAAGTTCGAACATCGAATGCGAAATTAATGTGCGATCAATCATTTCCAATTTGAACAAAGTCAAATAATACCTGCGGGTATAGTGAGAGTGAACGTTTGTTGCCGGCTCAGACAGTCAGATGGACATATAATCTATACAATAATATGCGACAGACGTACAAAGCAATACAATAATTATGTATTCCAACAACAAAACACTTGAACACAAAAAACACTATCCAGAAACAACAAGGCAAACAACTGAATTTTGTGGTAAATTCAATTGAGTCGCATATAATATGCAATGAAAAATACTGTCAAGACACACGAAACTAGTTTAAATGACGAAATTATCAAATACATAATAAAAAGGTTCATGACACATGTAATACCAATTCATCTTCAATGCGTTTGGGGAACAGACGATCGAAAATTATTCAACAAAAAATGAAATTATAAAACAATACAACACGTCGAGACCAATCCTAATTTCAATGTACATTTACATAAGAATGAATTCCTCAGACGCCATTCTTCGACGACACTCAAACCGAACTTTTCAATATTTTTCTTTGTTTTCTCAACGATATTCCACAGAAGAACAGAAATGTTGCATTTAACAGCATTCACAACTACCATGCCAGCCATTCGATATGCACTTAAAATTCGAAACGAACAAAAGCACGTACGCATTGGGCACGAGTACAAGTGAAATAATATTATTTATGTCTCTGTTCCTATTCACCGACTGTTGAGCGAGCGATATACAATAAATAAAAAAAAAATGAATATGTGCAAACATAAAGCCGTCACCAGTTGGTGTGGAAGTACTACATCGATCAATACTTTTATGAGATGTGCGGAGAGAGAGAAAGAAACGCAAAACGAAGAAGAAAATGAATTTTACAGACAGAACTTTCTACATTGCTTTGTGGTTCTAATAAAATTTTATATCCATCACAATATTGACTCAATGTTGTATTTCCATGCAGTAATTGTGATGAATGCCAATAACCAGAAAGTGAAAAAAAAAACAGAGAGAGAGGGATCTTTTCGATTTCGATGCAGACTTTAGCCATTCAGTGAAGTGTGAGTGTGTACCAATATTAGCCGCATTTATGAATAAAGTCATTGCGGAACGAATTGCCGACGTTGAATTTACATTGTTGTGTTTACCCCGACCAAATAAAATGATTCATGCAAATTTCCATGCTCTGTAATTTTTCAATTCACAGCATCCTTTGTGTGGTAATCCTCACTTCGTTAGTGTTTATCTTGATAATATCTTCGCATGGTTTAAGAGAACACGATGAGTCTTCGAATAAAATATTTGAGAAAAAAAAACAAAGTTTTATTTGATGATCGCATCTGTTCGGAACCGTAGAGAAGATTGAATATTCGCATAAACCAGAAGAGCAAACGTATAATGTCACCACGACAACAACTAATAGCCGCAATTTATGAGACTTTCAAGCACAGTGTGTGAGCCCATGGTGATCTTAGAAACTAGTGTACGACGTCTTCTACTTAGAAAACTTTTATTAGATGCATAACAGCCAGTGCAATTTGCATAAAATGTTCCAATCTAAAATAACATGCAATTGCATTTTAGAATTTTCAGAAGTAATGCATAAAAACGTGTCTTCTTTTGTATACAAAATATTCTGTCGAACGTGACGAGTCGAATTTACCAAGAAAATGGTTGGAGAAAAAACCAACCACTAAAAGACTTTTTAATTAATTGCAGCTCAATGAGTCAAAGATTTCCATTCAGTGGGATCTTAAACCACAGTCTCTGTCATAATTCGAAGAGATTCTCGCTGTTGCGTCATACCCCCATCAATAAGAATGATCTTGCGATAGGCTTATGATGTACAATCGAGCGTGTTTATTTTTCGAACTCCATTGTATCATTATAATAATAATTGGTTTTGAAGATGGGTTAATGAACGTTTTCAGCCGAAAATGGTTGGTATCGAAACACGAACGGCCAATTTGAAGTATGAGAATACGTTCGAATTGGATTTATCAAAAAGTGTTGGTGTTAAAATGAGTATTCGAAAAAGGCATTTATACATATTTGTGTCTCTGTTTTCATAAGAACCAAATAGAGAGAGACAGCAAGAGAGCAAGAGAAAAAGCATCGATTCTATGCATGAAGACATTTTCATTCCAGAAAATAATGGAAACAAAGAAACAAAACAAAACACAAATGAGCCGAACAAAAGAAAACACAAAACAACGAGAAAAGTACTTAAGTTTCAGTGGTGTTTTTTTCTTCTTCTTCAACTGGAATCCATTAATTTGATCGTAAAAAACGAATTGTAATTTAGTTTAGACTTGTACAATGTACGCGCTGTACATCGAATCTCTTTTGATTAAAAGCACTTGAAAAATGGGCTAACAACATTCATTTGAATTTTGGTGAGGCAACCAACAACTACCACGAAAAAAAAAAGAACATAACATTTCAAGCAATGGAGACCGAGAATTTTGATTGATAGTTTTTATTACCAGCTCTATGTTATTGCTCTTTATTTTCATTCTCTCTCTTTGCATTGAGCACTGGACGCGGTCCATAGTCAAATTTAACGACATACATGGACTCGTGGTACTCGGTTAAATTTGTGCATTAAATGTAAATCTTTAATGGTAGCATGATCAGCGCAAAGAGCCAATTAAAAAGAAAAATCCTGTAATCCCATGAGATCGCATGGGGTTCATTCACCGATGACCAAGCTTTTCAATATCGCTTTCAATTCTCCATCTCAACCAATGTAAAAGATACTCTTATCTTTCACTGTTGTCTCTTTCTTGTTGCTCTTTTGCTGTCAGCTTGGGTCACTTAGACAATATGTTTTGAATGGAATTGATGATAAAAATCTACTCAGAATTCTACGCAACATATTTCATTGGCGATGCACATATATATATGTATGTTAAATAAAAAAAAAACTAAAGAAAAGGCTCATGTTCGCCGATTATTATGATTCATGGTCACAGCATAAAACTTCGCTTACTCTGAACTTAAATATCTCTTCAATTTCTTTATGGTTGTGCATTTCCTTTGGCTTTTGAAATTCTTTCCAACGACCAAAGCATCCAATGCTAAAGTTTATGCTTTTCCGGTTGTTATAGAATAAAATGATATAATTTATGAATTTATGCCCGATTTATTGCCAAACGCTATTCAAAATAGATTCGCGTAAATGTACGGTCGTTTAACTACACTTCAAATTATAATGCTATAAATATGCAAATGCTTTGCCAGACACAATGAGGAGTGCTGGAGAGCGAATACAAAAACGTTTACGATCAAATGTCCTTTTCATTTAAGATACGATTTGTTGCTGTCATTGTTGTTGACTAGATCGACTTAATCAATGAATTAATTCCAATGTTTACTTTTATTTTCATTTCAGGTACTTACTTTGAGAATTCAATAACTTTGCACGGTTGGAAGTAACGTACGCTAGCAAAACTCTGATCACCAAGGTAATTAATAAACACTTTTTTTTCGAAATTTACTTTGTAGCAATCAAATAATAGCGATTATCCCATATTAAATCATAAGTTGATGGTTATTAAATCCCATTGAAAACATCAATTTGTTTGTGTGATGTAACACAAAGCGCCACTAAATTCTTCGGTAATGAAATTCATTCCGCTTGCAACTATCTTCCATTCAAAAATAGAGCTAAGAAGAAAATACGATTCAGCATTTCCGCTAAATAAAAATACAACTGATTATAATTTATGGTCGGACAATCAGCGCTTACAGTTCAAATAGTACTGTACAATTTGTATCACACATAATTTCGCAATTTAACCCAAAGCACCAGCCAAATTTAATCTTTAAAGATTAATCAATCAAAGTCTTGAAAAGTGAAGAGAAAAAAAAACACAAACGAAAACAAATCAATGAGCATGTAATCGGATATGAAGATTCATTTACATGTCGGCACTTTAAAATTTTGCTCATACACCGAAAATATAATTAATTTGCTACAATAATATGCAAAGAAATGTCATTGCGTCATAAAACTCACTTTTTTTTGCCTGGTCATAATTGTTTGTCTCATTTTTTGTGTGGTCAAAATGCGGAATCGAACATTTTGCACTTGTAAGCATGAAAATGAAAAAAAATAATACTGGATTTTTGTGTAAAAATAGCAAATTACACTTTGTTCGTTTTGAAATCAAAAGTTTGTGTTCCGTTTCAAATATGAATGGCGCCGACAAAAAATGTTGTTTACTTACAAAAAATGTTTGTTAGATAAAAAAAAAATACTTTACGTTAGCCATTTGAATACAAAATATATGTAAAGTAATTTAAATAATTTTAAATTTTATTTTACAAATTTTCTCTTTCCGAAAACTCTGATCAATAAGATGAAATTTCTCTATTCATAGAGACATGGCATCGAAAAAAATGCGGAATTTGTGTATGCTTTCTATTTGTTTTGTTTAGAAAGCAACTTGATTTGACTGTATATCTTTTTATCAACAACGATGTTTTCTAATTTTCGGCATTTTATTAGGCCAAAAATATCGTGCAGTACTCATTTTCGAACGGTCAAAACAATAACAGAAAATCTTGCATAACAATTATTTTTGGTTATTTAATAAAGGAAAAGTCATTCATAAAGGTCATCTTTCCGTCCGACGGTTCACTGCGGCGGTCTACCATTTCATAAGTTGTATTGCAATCATTTCAAATGTAAGAGCATCGGAAAGCACCGAACCGATCTATGGTGCAATTCATATCGGATTTAAGATCCAAAAATGCACTCAACTGCATCGGCGAATGAAAAACAAATTGGACACTATTTGAATGCCAACACACATACATCCCCATACACTTTATCAAAATGAAAATAAATTGCATTGCAAAACCGTTATTTGACTTCTTGATCACAAAAGTTCGTCTAAATCTCAGGTCTGAAACTTCAATTCAAGTTCAAATTAGCATCATTTAAGCTGGGCAAAAATGTATTTGATATCTATTCGCAATTCCTGTTTCATGAAATCTTTGGCAAACGTACTGAGTTAACTGTGTGAATAGAGTAGCGTTGGTTTAATGAGGCAAAAATACGCACGCATGTCAGAACACAGATGGTTGGATAGTGTAACATTTAAAGAAATATCTATTATTACTTTATTCACTTTGACATGCGGTTTTGTTTCATCCTCGACTCAAGTCGAAACCTGATCGTGGCACGTAACGAAACTTACATCAACTAAACGAAATTATTACCATGATCGTCTTGAGGAAAGAGCGTAAAAAAATACTTTGACGCAAAAATTCAAATGTAAAACATGTCATTATCGCATGCGAACGTTTTGCTCAACGCAAATATTGTGGAATCAAATCGTGCATCCTCTGCGTCTCCTCAAAAGAAAAATGACCACAATCATTATTAATATAAATATTTTATGTATTACATGTGTGTGGCATGAGTCTGTGCTCGCATGCCTTCTAAAAGTAATGATGATTGGAGGTGAGTTAGAACGTTATCTTCGTATACTTAATAGCTAATTCAGCTGCTAGCTATGAAAAATGCTTATCGAAATTGGATCAAAACATCGTCAGCTTAAAATGATCTTTTTTTTTTGTTTCATCTCAAGAATGACTTTCTTATTCAAATTTAAAATGCTCATGTACCTACATTACAACTCAATTACCATTTTATTTTTGTAAAAATTCTTACGTACTATGCCGACTTAGTTTAACTGGACGCACTTAATGTATAATGAGAATGCAAATCAAGTCTATTAAATATATCTGTATGAGTAATAAAACGGAGAATGCGGAAATCGCATACTGCATACGCATTATTTTTACCATGGTTAACCAGCGATGCAAAGGTCAGTACTTTCTGCGCATACGATTTGCAGTTAATAAAAAAAGATTATCGAATAAACCGGTTTTTTAACAAAAGACCCAATTGAGATGAAAATAAATAGAAAACATAAACGCATTTTTATTGAATCTTAAGGTGTGATTTTCTAGAGTAAGTAATTCAGAAGTAAAGTTGTACATGTAATTATTGTTATTAGGATAACTGTTGGTCTCCTAGATATTTTCCAAGAAATTGCAACGGTTAAACTGTTGTGAACTCGATCATCCATACAAAGCAAACGCTGAAATGAATAACGAGAGTGGAATTTTAAGCAAAATACACCATTTCAATCACATACCAATTACAGCTACTGAAACATTTAATAAGGCAATGTCATCAGGCGCTCACTCGTGAAGAACATTCGAAAATTTGAATTCAATTTATTACGGAACATAATTGGGTACGTTGAAACGTGTTTTCAAATGTGTGTTTTCGTTTTAAAATCCACGTTAACAAAGTGCTTTCAACGAATATTGTGAAAGGTGCTTGCGATGGCATAGTGACTGTGATGTCTCAATTTGACTCCGTTTCTCTCTTGCAAACGATAAGATTTAATCATCGGTCACATTTCAAAGCGTGCGCAAACTAGTACTCATTTCTCACACCGTTCGTATACTTTGTGAACTTTCAAGATGATTCATCGTACGTTTTAGCATGAAAAAAACGACCGATTCTAATTGAATTGCCATAGTATTTCCGTATTGAAACTGAGAAAGATTAATAACAACAGCAGCTTGAATTGCCAACACAATGAAACTAGAATGTCTAAAAAAAATTGGCGCTGATCTCTCCGAAAGTTTGGATCAATCGGCATGATGTCAACGTTCTTTTATTTCGAATGGTGTTGTTCGTTTCAACCAAAATGGAAATCGTCGATATAATTGTCAGCGGAACACGATTTTTAAATTATTCGTGTTACGCAGATTGCGCAAAAAAAAGTATCGCGCAATGTCAACAATTCAAATTAATGATCGTGTATACTGCAATTTAATCTGTCGCGTGTAAATCGTCGAGCCTACACTCAAATCAAATGGAAAAATGAACTAAATGAATGTATATGGCCATATTGAGAAAAAAGCAATCAGACGGCAACATGCCGGCGAGACGTTTACTTTCCATACAGCGAAACAACAAAACAAACACATGCACACATACCGATTACCGATTTCAAACACAACACGGATTAAATGAACGAAATAAAATCTCATCTGAGTGAAATGGTGCACATGCAATATGCTAATTCGACACTTCGATCGGTTTTTATTCCATACTTTTCCGCTACAGTTTTATCACATCGGTACCGTTTTTAGTAAAAGTGAATTTCGATTTCATCTCAATTGCTACAATTTTTCCAAACGATTCCGCATTTTGCGGTTTTGTTTCGTCAATCGAAACGATTTGATCACATTTTTTTTTGTATTCGAAAATAAATTTCATTATACTGGCAAAAAATATTCCAAAATGCACGAAAAATGTGTTTTTTTTTTCTCACACAAGATCTGAGAAAGTATCGAAATTGATCCGTTGACGTTTTAAAAAAATAAAATATTAATAATAAAACGATAAAATGGAATTAACATATGTTTTGGTAATGAACATGTGTTGTTTTTTTTTGTACGAATTTGTTTGCTTTTAATAATTGGAATCGATACAGTCCGAATTTCTCAAATGTGATTTCACACTGTGAAATCGAATTACAGATTCGCATGTCAATGATCGTTCGTCGATAAAAAAAACAAATTCTCTTCGAAAAAAATAAATGAAAAAAAGCGAATCAATACGATAATAATGAGTGTTGGTGTTCTGGTTGGTATAAATACGAAAAAAAAGTAAACAGTCACACAAAATTCAAAACGAGCTCGCATTATTTCGCTTGCAATTACTGAATGGCTTATTGAGTGTGATGAGAGAGTTTCGTTTGTGTTTCGGTTTTTGTCTTCAATTTGATGCCATTTTGTGTGAATGAAAGTTCATCAGCGTTACAATACATGTACAAAAATCATCAAACTTGAAGGTCAAGCACAACGGAAAGTGCTTTGCACTCGTGCCTCTTGTCCGTTTTTTTCTGCTTTGTTGGTTCATCGATAGCGAAAAGAACTACTCGACAATTTAAACGAAATTTAGATGAAAAAAAAAATCTGATTAGATCTCTGTTTTGTGCGTAAGCGCTCATGGTAACCACGTAACACAAAGTGTATTCGATTTAAAATCACAACATTTTGATGAGCGTTTTTCCAATGGACGTTCTTTACACATAGTAATTGTTCAATTAAACGCATCTCTTCCAACCGAGTGTTTAACATTAAGAAACATTGACTTATCGCCGCCGAAATCCAATTACAAAACATATAATATGTGTACAATTTCGCATTAAAACAAATACGAACAAAATAGTTACATCAGTGTTTTAATTTCGGTTGTTTGTTTCGTTCTTTATATCGAAGCGAAAAATAAATTAAAAATTAAAGCAGCAGTTCGTCGAAAGCAATGGCTTTTTTTTACGGCCAAATCATTTTTAATTGCCAAACCTTTTTTCCGCTTAAAAGTCATTTTTGGCATTTGGTCAAAGAACAAAAGTCACGTGTATATTTT